ATCATTACATGTATATAAACGATTTTCACATTCACTTGTTTCACTTGAATTTGATGTATTTTGATGATTATTTATACGTTCGTACATTCTAAAATAAGATACTCACATATATTTCTTCTTTTTTTTTTTTTTTTTTTTTTTTTATTCTCTCTTCGTCGTTGTGTTCCGGAAGTTGTCTTATGACGACATATACATTCTTTTAAATTAAAGTTTGACTGATTAAATATGAATTAGAAAGAACAGAAGCATACATTTTTTTTGCTTCTTTTCTTTTTTTGAGTATATTAAAATTCAAGAAAATAACATTGTTGTTTTCACCTGTGCTTCAAGGCATCATTTTTTCTCGTTATACAATAATAATAATAACAAATCAATATACTTTCTCATTGTCTAATTAACAGTTTTTGTTTTTATTCTTTCTCTTTCTAACAATAAGGAATAACAATTTACACCCAACGGCGTGAATATGAATCTCGATCTAATAAAAATGAATGAATTTTTCACATTGAAATCATTTTCGGATAATTTTAGTAAATAATATAAATAAGAAATAAAACAAAAAAAGAAAAAAGAATGAATAAATTTATTATCTATAATCAATTGAATCCTGTTTTCGAATGTTTAGTGATAGAGAATCTCTTAACAACTTGTCGCATATTATTACCTTTGTTGTTGTTGATTTTCATCAGTTCCATTAAATAAATGATCATTAATCATAGATTCTTCAATAGCTATAATATATTTCGAAAAATATTCTATATATATATATATTTCTCTCATTACTTTCTTCATTTTGTTGTTGTGTTTGAAGACTTGTACATTTCATAGTGATTCGTTTATTATTTTGTTCGTCCTCTGAATTTTCATTCGTCAATATAAGATTATTTGATTTATTAATAATTGTTGTCGTTTTTTGTTCTTTATTAATATGTGTTGTAATAGCTTCTAAATGGATAAAAATGAATAAAATAAAATAAAATTTCACACATAAAAAACGATATCATTATCCAATAATTCGTACAATATATTTTTTCACTTCTGTGCATGATTTAAAGAAATAAAACAAAATGATAATGAATATCTCATCTGTATAGTGCTCTAGTTGCTACCTCAATCTGTCAAATGTGAAAATGACTTACTCGACATGCTTGTCTTGTTCTTATTCAAATGAGAAGACATGAAATTGTCGTTGAATGAATTTTATCTTTCTCTCTCTCTCTCTCTCTCTCTTTTTCTCATTCTCTTACTCACCTGAATATGACATGAGAATAGAGTAGGGATGCCAATATATTTCTTTCGTTCTCCTCGTTTTTTTTTTTTGATATATCATGATTCCACCCGAACGAATTCGTTACTATGCTGAATCGAATTTTCTTATTTCATTTCATATTTATAGCATGAATCGATTAAATTTAAATTTAAGAGTAATTATATATTTTTATTTCTACTCAATTTTCAGATAATGATTATCCATGCCGTGAGCTTGTGTCACCTCATTCATAAGAGGGAGAATATAGATAGATATCGTAAATATGACACTGCTGTCTCACTCTCTCTCTCTCTCTCTCTCTCTTCTACTCGTTTTTTTTATGATCGTGTGTAATCCTCAACTGAATCAACATATATAGAATGAAGATAATATTCAGACAACAAAACGCGAAGTAAAGAGAAAGGAAGAGATAAGTTTTCGATGTGCACATCTCGAATTTTTTTTTTGTTAAATGCACACACCTACACAGGTCAATATTTGTCCATTTTTTTTTTCCCTTCATCATAATCATCATCATCATCCCAGACAGATAATAGGCTCTATTGAGTGAAGTATGTATATGGGATAAAAAAGAAAAAAAAACGACTGACAAAGAATCATATTACATGTTTTTATGTACAAGATAATTTCGTCCTTTTTTTTTTTTTCTTTTTTCTTTCTTTATTTCTTAACTAATTTAATTTCAATATGTTATCATTCAACCGATCATACATTATCTTTAAAATTCAAGCAAAGCGAAAAAAAAAACGAGCGATAGAACAAATCTGTTATTAACATATAAAGAAAAAAAAAAAAAAGCATCAGATGAGAGATGTATCACACATCAAAATAGAAGATGTATTGATGTTTGTTAATCATGTTTTATATGTTTAACAAATGAAAGGATTAATATGATATGTATTTAATTTATTATAAAACAAGTATTTTATTCTTGTCAATTAACACATATGAACTTACCGTGATCAATAGGAGATGATGAATTTAAAAGACGTTTAGCTGCTTTCGTTTTTAGTCGCATCGATGTCTTTTACTTCTGCTATTCTGTATGTGTATGTGTGTGTGTTTCGTTTAAGTTGTCATCATATAATGCAGTGATGTTGGTGACATTTTCTCTTCTTTTCTTCTGTTTACAGGTTGCTGCTGATCAATTTTGCTTTAGACTGCCACTGCCATCTCCGTTCCTTCTCTTTATGTTCTGTTCTTCTTCGTTGGTGATGCGAAAACGAAAATCCCCATCGCTTCGTCGTGACCGAGGATGATTGTATGCTCTCTCTCGCGCTCTCTCTCTCTTTCAGTTTCTCTCTCGCTCGTTCCCAAGTATACCTGCCCGCCGTGCATATATGTATGTGTGCACACGAATTTGAATGAATAGAAAAGAAGAAGGTAGTTCGTTTGCGTTACTCTCACAAATACACATTGATGATGGAAGCACTTGACAAACTTCTTTACTCAATTTTCTTCTTCTTCGTCGTTCGTCGTCGTCTTCTTTCACATGCTGTGTGCGCTCGAATGCATCATATGATGCATTTATATTCGAAGAAAAAAAAATAGAGTTTGATTTGAATTTAATGTTTGTACAATGTTTTTTCTTTTTCTTTTTTTTGTTTTCAACAAGAAAATAAGAAGCTTTTATTTTTGCAGATGGATATCGTGACGGCAACATATCAAACGAATAAAAGAAAATCATACCAAATGTTTCGACAATAAGAAGCTCACATATGAAATGGAATATCAATTCGCTTGATTACTTTTATGCTCTGTTTTAGAAATGAATAAGAATGCTTTCGGGCATGTATACTATGAAATCAAAATAATAAGAGCAAAAAAAAAAATGTAATTGAAATATGTTGCTTTTGAACAAAGAATGATAATGCCATTGATAAATCAAAAATGTTGTTGAAATTGTTATTGTTTTTTTTTTAAGTATAAAATAGAAAGGTAATAGTTAAATTCTCTCGACTTGGTTTTTTTTTTTGGGTGTAACATTGGTTCGAATTTTTATTGAAAATGTCGTACTGTTTGATACTACTCGACTTGATTTATGATATTATTCTGATAATCGCAATGTGAATGTTGACTTAAAAGATTCGAAAAAGAAGTCTGGTTGATTGAAGTTTTAGTTAATTTCATTTTTACAATTAGATTATTTAATTCTCAATTGAAGATGAATTTAAGTTCAATGAATTAAATATCGAATTGTATTAGAAGATTTTTCTTCATAATAAACATTTTCTTTCTTTGTTATATTATCGAAAATTACCTGAAGAGAAAAAATTTTCTGATGAATATATCATTAGATAAACATGAGTTATATAATATAGAAAAAGAGATACTTGTTACATATTATTAAGTATTCACTGAACAATTTAAATGATCAAGGACAAAGTTGATTAATAATATAAAATATTATTTTTCTTATTTATTCAAATGTATGCAAAATCGACAACAATAATTTTGATTTAATTGAAGTATAAGGAGTCTTTTTTATTTAAATAGAAAAATAATTATAAAAATTATTTTTCTTAATTGTATTGTAATAATAGATATTTGAAAATCGATTATTATAATTCATATATATATATATACTATTGATACAAGTACAAATGTATATAATTCAATACGTATATGAATCAAACAGATTGCAAGTATTTTATTTTTTTCCATTAGCTAAAAATACATATGAAAATATTATCTGTCGATTTTTTTTTTAAAAAAAATCTTCATAATATCATTTTCTCTTTCACACATATGTTGTTAATTAATCTTTTTTTTAACTAGTTTTCCTCATATATATATATATATCATTGATTTGCATCTTCGAAAAAGCAAAAAACATTATTAAGTTTGTTCGACAGCTGATCTAAATGTTATCAATGCGACACACTATGTTCAGTTTTTTTTTCCTTATACATCTAAAACACAACTATTAGAATAATTATTAATACATGTAAATCTTAAGTATAAATCGGATTAAACACTCTATGAAAAAATGATATGTATTAAATCGTGATAAAAGCAAATGAAATAAATAAAGCTTTTTATAAGAACTTTTTTTTTTCTCTCTATAGCTTGCAAGTTATATTAATTTAAAAATTCAAACAATGAATATTTTCTTTTGTTTTTACATCATATATATATATATAAATATCATTGATTTGAAATTGATTGCTACATAATAGGAACAAAATAATGCGAGTCTGACATACATATATATATATATATATATATGTATATAATAGTTAAATATAAAGCATCAATGATGTTTATGAAATAATATGAGAGAAAATTTTGTCTTTTTTTTTTCTTTTTACAGACCTGAATGAAAACAGTCGAAAGTGTCTCAGAATCCTATACTGACAAGAGAAGAGAAAGAAAAAGTATATATATATATATTCATGTCTGTATGTGAAATACACATGTCTGATAGTTAAATAGCACAAGCTTTTTTCATTCCAATTCTTTAATTCTACTACACATACATATGCGATATCATTGTTAGTCATATAAAATATAAAAAAAGAAAAAAAAAACCAAACACCCGACAGCAATACCTTCAGTCTATACTATTACTAACCTATTCATTACTCGTTTGCTTTGTCAGTTGTTTTGAATAGTAGAAAGAAGAAAATAACATTTATATAAAGTTCTATTGATTAGACTCTATTTGTTATTATTAAAAAAAATATGATAGATTTTTTATTTAAATTCAATCAATAATATAACTTCAATAATGATAAAATCTTCTTTATCTCAATCATCAGAATTATCAACATTAAATAATGATGAAATAAAACTTATTATGTCAGTTATTGAACGTGATTTTAAACTTCGAGAGAAAGAATATAAACGTATTCAGTAAGTTTTTCATTCATAAATTTAAAAAAAAAAAAAAAAAACTTTCTATTTTTATTTTTGTTAAATAGTGAATTAAAATCTCTTATACAACAAGAACATGAATATGTAGAATATTTAACTACGTCAAGAGAATTTAATTCTAAACGATGTATAATATGTTATAAATTATTTAAAATATATTTTAATTCAAAAGAATTATGTTCAGAATGTAAATTATATGTTTGTCATAATTGTGCAACATATAATAAGCAACACAAAATATGGACATGTAAAATATGTTTAAAACTAAAGTAAGATTTTTTTTTTTTTTTTTTTTTTTATTGACATGTTTTCATATTTATAATCTTTTCTTATACGATTGAAAATTATATAAATAAATAATTAATTATTTGAGTTGATTTGGTATTTTTCTTTTGTAGAGAATTACAATGTTTAACAGCCGAGTGGTTTTATCTTGAAATTGCCAAGAAATATAAACGATGTGGTAGTGCAAAAGTTGTTCGTGACCTACACAAACGTCAAAAAGAACTTGGTAAATTTACTTACACTTGACATAATCATCCACACATGAAATGAAGGGCGCGATATGCATTCAGGCGGTCATTTAACTAATATAACCCTCCAAAGAATTGAAACAGCAAACTTTCAAAAAAAAAACCTAGATTCTTCTGGTTTTGGAAAAATATTCAATCGACAAAAATAGTATATTCGAAATCAGCATATTGAACTGTATAACATAAAGCAATTGTGAATAAAAAAAAAATTTCTTGAAAAAATGAGGGCAAGGATCGCCTTAGGCATTTTTCGTTGAAAAATTTTTTTTTTTTCTTAAAGATATTTTTCTGAGCAAAGAAATTCATCTTCGAGCAAGAAAGTCACATGTCTGCCTACTGTGGAAAAAATGCACACTGTGGGATGAAAGGATTTGAGCACAAAATTGAGGACAGTTGAGTCTACATTTGAAATGAGCACGACTGATAATGTTTAGAATAGAAGCGTTTTCTATTCCTGAATAGTCCTGCATGCGAAGTATTTCTTACACTAGCAAACTCTAAAGTTTATGCAACAGAATGATGACCCCTATTTGCAAAAGACCATTCTCCCTATTAAACTACTAGAGCTTGTCAGGTTTCGAGTCGACACACTTTGTAGACGACTTCCTTATAACATTCTCGATTTATTTTTGATATGTTGTTGTCTGCTTTCACTCACTGTCTGTTATTTTCCTCTACCATAACTATGTATTTCTAATTAGTTTATTGTTTACCTCGAGGATTCCTTGTAATCAATTAAATTTTTGCAAAATTGGAACTTTATTTAGTAGATTTAATACATTTGAATATGCCGAGTTTTCAGGATTTTGAATTGAAAATTTTTGATTTTTTAAAAAACCGTTTAATTAAATATCATGAAAATAAATAGAAGACTCGGGATCATCTATTACTGAGAGGAATTTAGTAGAATACATCTTTAAATGAACATTGAATTAGTCAAAAAAAAAAACAATTCTTCAACATGAACCACATATCTACTTTTAATCTAGTACTATGCTGAATTCTTAGATTCTAGTAGCGTAGCCAGAAGAACTGGTAGAGAGGGTTGGGTTGGTATATTTTGAATAACTCAGTTTTATTCTAGCTGAGATCAATGAATTGGATGACGACCTTGGATATGGAACATTATCAACAAGTACGATAATTGATTCGAAAGATTTGGGTTAATTAGAGATTTTTGCGTCGAAAATCTTCTAGTAAAATATCTATTTTATTTAGGTTTCTTCAGGTCATATATTGTTCATGATGAAAGTATTAAGCGTGAATTAAATGAATATACAAAACAATTGAAATTACTTATTGATAATTTACAATCGGATTTATCTAAATTTACTACATATAATAGTGATTTGTCAATCCACAATAGAGGTAACAAAATATGGATGACAGATTTTTGTTTTGAAATTCTTTATTTTGAATATATATAGATAGAGAAAATCTCAAAGATCATCAACAGCAAATTGCATCAGAAATTAATCGTGCTCGGATTGCTCTTATCGATCCATTGCGACGTAAGTTTATTGCATATACAAAAACAAAAGAGATTTCTTTATTCTATTGAATATGATTCACGTTTTGAATCGTTACTGGAAGATAACAAGATATTTAATTCAATAAAAAAAAAAAATCTTATCATGTTTTTCATATATACGAAAACATGAAATGATAAATACATTAACTGAATTTATTATTCTTAATGACAGATCATTTTCAACCGTTAAAAGACTAAGTTTTTTTTTTTTTTTTTTATAAATCTTCTTCAATGTATTCTTGTTGTTGATCGTAAATAATAACAACAAGATTTTCGAAGACGAATATAATTTAGTTCTTAATAGGAATTTTTTCGACACTTTTTTTTTAGTTCAACAACATCAAAACCATTCTATGAGGCGTAATAAACATTAATTCCTAGAGAGTATGGTTCCGTTCTAGCCTACACGAAAGCAATAAGTGTCTGGTAGGTTTTAGTTGGTCGTCAGCGTTGGAAGTTAGTTTCTTTATGCCTCATTCGATAGAGTATATTAAGACAAGAAAAAAACCTAAAAGATTTCGCACTAGTGACCAATTAGTCAAAAGTTATGATCGTTTTATTGAATTTTTTGTCTAACTGAAGGTTATTTACCAAAGAACTCAAATCACGGAATGTCGACCTGAAATTTTGTACAAAGAAAGATTAAATTAATCTTTAGAATATTCAGAAAGTTTCAGTCAAAATATTTTAAAGTTCAAAAAACTGATCACTTGTCACAGACATATTATAAAAATCGAGTTCATGTTAAAACGAAGCTGAATAACTTAGATACTCATCTCATAAGTGTATTATTTGATTTTTGTTAACAAGTATATGTGAAGACAATAAGGTTTCTTTAAATTTTTACCACAATTAGATGTTTTTAAAAACATCTTCAAAAACCTCTGAAGACCTACTTTTAAACTTTTTTTCTCGAACATAGATCTCACCATTTTTCCTAATCTAGTTACGGTAAAAATTTGATCCCATCTCTTGCGAAGAAACAGAAGTAATCCAAAAGAGAACGGAATTCTTCAATAATAACCTCAAAACCTGTTCTAGTTTGTGATATTCATTATGATTGTTTTCTCTGAGTTAATTTCTTCAGAAATTCTTCATAATCAGTTTTGCAAGTAGTTGTCCTAAACCTGTAGAACTTGACAGATTTTGTATGTCTGTTGTTTCTCTAGTCGATTTTTAATATTCAATAATATTTCTGTGATTATTTCTTATGCAATCTTTGTTTGGATTAATTGAAAAGGTTCAAATATAAAATTAACTATAGCATATGAAAATGATTTAAAAAATTTATTAATACACAAAACTGAAGAAGTTCTTCAAACAAATTTACAACAATTTAAAAAAGTAAATTAATCAGTAAAATGATTTCTTTGGTTTTTTTTCTTCTCAAATTTATTCTTTTTAATATAAATATAGAGTTTAATAACTGAGAATTCATCGATAAATTCAATTGATTTTGATGAAAAATTGGCACAAATTATTTGTGATAAATATATCAATAAAGAAACCTCCAGTAATTTATCACAAGTTATCGATCCGGTGAGTTTTTCTATAATTGTCATTATCATATTTTTTTTTTGTTAAATTACTATTGTTAAATAATAAAATTGTTTTGCACGTTCATCTCACTTGCGGGAGTAAGAAATCTGACAAGATCAGTCAATTTAGTCATGATTGGCGCAAAGGTCATTTTTTTACCCGAGAAGTACACTTTTAAATGGTCCATTTTGCTCCCAATAGTAGTCGGTCCGATAGCAACCATTTTAAATTTAAAACACTTGGTTGTAAATTTTGTTCAAAAACACGAAAAAATTAAAGCAAACAACAAAAGCTGAATGACAAGCCTATTTTCATTGGTGATTATACAGCGAAGAAGATCAGCGACAAATGACTTATTTTATGGCGTTTTCTGCTGAGAAAAATAGTTTGGAAGGAAGGAACGATTGCTCCCTCTTCCGTCTAGATATGCCACTGATCAGGGATTGTATTATTCATTCAAGCATGATATAGTTAGTCTGAGGGAGATGGAAATCGATTTACGATTACGCTATTAGTCTTAATCCAATGGTAAACTTTGAATAATGCTGACTTGAACAGAAGACGGTCTAAAATAATCATATAGTCAATTATAGGTCATTTAAATAATTCCATATCGGATATGTATTATGAGAAATACATTCAACAGGATACCATGAAACAAAATGATAAAGTTATAAGTCAAACATGTTACACACAATTACTGAGAGTTTCAAAATAGAATACATTCGACTGGTTTTCCAATAAATTTTAGTAGGAACAATATAAAGACCTGGGATTTTTACCAGTCAAGAGAGAAAATCCTAGGCCGACTGCATATGCCAAAATGTGATTGGTCAACAACGGACCAATCGGATGAATTCTCTGTGGAGATTGTGAAGAAGATATTTCCGATTGGAATATGACCAGTCGATAGGAAAATCCTTGATTTGAGCTCTTCTACAGTCTTCCAAAGTCAATTTGCTGATATCAAAGGTTTCGGAAAAACCTTGGTAACTCGAAAATGGAACATATTAGAAAGTCAAGACTTGCATAGATTGAAAAAGAAGAATTTATCCTGTCAATTAGTCATACTCCAATGGAAAATATCTTTTTCACGGTCTTCAGAGAGAACTCACTTGCTTGGCCATTTGTTAATCAATCCAGATTTCAGTACATGCAGATGACCCTTGGTCTTCTTTTTTGAATGGTAAAAACATCAGATATAGATTATAGATTACATTTTACTATCTTCCAGAAAATCTAGGTAAAATTTCGTCCATGTCTTCTCTATAAAACTCTACAAGTAGAGATATATCTTAATCTATGATAGTGTGATGTACATTCGAGGCTCATAATTTCAAAAGTTTGTTCTTTACACAATCTCTGTTGTTTTATATTTAGTCATCAAATTTATCTCAAATACCTCCAAAACCTCAACGACAATCATCGAGTCCTTTTGTTATCGATCCTTCATCTCATCAATCAAATCAGAGCGTCTCCTCACCTCAAACATCAAATACATCTTCGAAAGTAAATTAAATATTTTAAAACATTTTTCTATTTCATTAAATTTATTGTTTATTTTATTTAAAAAAAAAACAGATGAATCGTCGTAATGAGACTCTTCGAAAAATGACTTCATTAAGAACATCAACTATTGATGAACAAGGTAAGATTTATTTTTTTTTGAAATATCAATACATTGACATTTCTATTTTATGCTAGAAAAAGAAGAAGACACAGACGAAGATAAAACTCCAACTGGAAGTTCATTTGAAGATGATAAATCAGATTATCTAGACGATAAAAATCGTTTTATTGATACAGATATTGAAATCATCAGGAAATCTAATGAACGTGTTAATGATTGGAATACAAATTTTAATTTAATTGAATCTGTACTTACTCTATCAGATAGTGATGAAGAAGAAGAATTATCAACTTGGTTATAAATATTCATATATAAAATAAAATATGTATATATAATCAATAATTAATTTAGTTTTTGAAAAAAAAAAATTTTTTTTGTTTATTTCTATCATTACAATACAAGATGTTATCCAATATCCAGTTATGTGAAATGTTCACACAAGTATTCAAATCATATGTACAGAATGTTTCAAAACTCTATTGAAAAATAGAAAGTGAATAACTTTTGAACAATTTACACGACAAAATG